AGTGTCAACAGAGACCGAACATTCCGGTCCAATCAGTTAACAGGAAAATCAGAACTGACTTAAACAATGAACAACTATTGTCCATTGGACAAGAAGTGGGTCCCGTAGCCCCTCTAGTAGCCCCCAAGTGGTCTAGCGGATAACGTTTTTAGCATTTGGGTAGATGAGTTCTAAGGTTCTAGCTCCAGTTTAGAATAACATCACTTACCGGAGAATGAAAGTCCATCCGGCTTTAGAGTCACACTTAGGGAGAAATGTACATCCACCGTTGAACAATAATAATTCAAGCTAATGTTTAGACGTCGTTGAAGCGTACGTACTAGGCGTGGAATTGTCAACAGGGACTGAACATTGCGGTTCAGTATGGTGGTCAGTTTACAGGGGACTGACAAATGAGCTTAAAACAAATAATAGATCCTAGTAGAATAAGAGATTGGACAAACGTTTTCTGTGCACAGGGTTCGGGACTGTATTGACGAATTGCCAACGCCTCTATCATACACAAATGCCGAAACCTGACGTCCTTTATACCATTTAGCCTCATCTTGTAGATAATCTTGAAAGATGACTCTGGTAGAACTACGTGTTTTGAGTTCATCAAGGGCTCGAGAACTGAGCTAGTTAGTAACTGTCTTGCATTACACTTTTTCCAGCCATGTCAGATAATGTTCAGAGATGCGTTTGGAAAGTTTGCGCTTTGTGCGGTCAATATGACTAGCTTCACAAGAGCAGCGGGTTAATTTATAAACACACACTGAAGTGGCCCGAAGGAGCTGTTTTTTCTTCACGCATCCTTCACATTCATATCAAATTTCCAACACTTTTTTCCTTTGTGCCATTGAGTACTACGTAATTTACAACTTTTGTTTTTACTTCTAAAGTCACTTCTGGGTGATTATATCAATGTCAACCGCCCCCCACCCCATTACTCAATAACAGACTACTATACATTTTTGTTAAATATAAATACGCATTTAGTAGTGTTCTCTGAGCTGGTTGGTTCAGTTGCGGAGCTTTCGTCGTCTTTCTGGACGACATCTTCAGAGCAGTAGAAGACAATGATATAATGGTGTCCTTTGATGTCACAACATTATATACTTCAATTACTCCAACACTAGCAACAGAAACTACGCAACAATTACTCTATAGTGATGAAAACATAAAAACGCAATGTTTAACTTGGATAGAACTAATAAAATTATGCCTTACAACATACTTCCAATTCAATACTCAAATATATGAACAAATAAAAGGAACAATAGGATCACCGCCCATATTAGGATTAATAGCTGAAACCGTTATGCAAAGATTAGCACTAATAGCTATACCTACCCATAATTAAACTGAAAATCTGGACAGGTACGTTACGTGGATGATACACTTTTGTAATAATTAAGAGAAATGTGATTTAGAATATACTCATAAATTAATAAACAAAATATTTGAAGACATCAAATTCACAACGAGAGAAGAACAGTTAGATGACAAAATCCTATTTTTAGATGTCTCAATCAGGAGGAGAACCAACACGGGAAATTTAGAAACACTCAAGTTTATAAAAAATCAACGCCCACATATCAAATACGCAACTATACTAGCAATAATCCAATTACTCACTCACAAAAGAAACGGTGTGCAGACATTGTTTAAAAGAGAGATCAAACACACTGTTACACTACTTCGGTGTTCAAAAGAATGGAAGAAAAATACCTACAAACGGTCTTCAAAAAGAATAGTTCCCCACAAAATTTCATCAAAAGTGTTTAAAATCGAATCACAACACCAACAGGGAACCATCATCAAAGACCACAAGAAAAAGATTCATCCTACCATACATGAAAATATCTCTGAAATAACAACAGCTAGAATACTGAAAGCGTTTGATATAGATATAGCACACAAGCCAGCCAGTCAAATCGCTTAATTCGATATTATGCAAACCGAAAGATCCATCCAACAGAAAAGGGAGATCAAATTTATACCATTGACAAAATAAATTGCATAAATGAACTGTAACAGGTACTATATCGGTGGTCGAAGTGGGCGTCCCCTTCGAATCAGAATGGGTGGGAGGAGATGAAAGCTCCTCAATTAAATCAACCAGCTGCTCAGAGAACACAGATAATTCAATATCATCCAAGTGAGCTACAAATCTTCCCCAATTACCAATGGTATTCGAATTGTGGTGGACTGGATTATGCGTCAGACAGTGAGTGGGAAACGAGAAGACAGGGATATCCTGGACAGACAGACAGACGTGAAGAACCTAGAAGACCTGGATTTCGCTTGTGCATGATTTATGCCTGATGTCACACAAAATCGAAGACCTACAAGCGAAAACCGACCGACAAACTGATCGAAGAACCAGCCGGCGAAGACAGCACTCAAAGTGAACATAGACAAGACGGAAGTTATGAAAATAAGCAACCACCTTCACCACCACCACCAACGACAACAACAGCAACAACCAGCGCCAATCACCATCAACGGGAGGGATTTGAAAGAGGTCACTTCATTCACTTATCTAGGGAGCATTGTCTCGACTACAGAAGTGGAACGGACGAGGATGTCAAATCGAGCGAGAATCGGGAACACGTTGGCGAGAAACACATTCACTCATCAACCTGAAACCAATCTGGAAATCTTTGTAAGTCAGCATCAACAACAAAATTCAGTCGGATTTTCAATACAGACAATGTCAAGTCAGTCAGTTCTTCTATACGGATCAGAAGCGTGGCGGGGGGTGGTCACAAAGAATACTTCCAAAAGGTTGCAGACCTTTATCAACCAACAACTGTCAAATTTATACCATTGACAAAATAAATTGCATAAATGAACTGTAACAGATACTATATTGGTGGTCGAAGTGGGCGTCCCCTTCGAATCAGAATGCAGGAAAACAAATCGGCCGTGAAAAGACACGATATATATTCTTTAGTATCAATGCATATAGACAATTATGGACATCAATTTGATGATTGAGACAATGTCGGAATCGTAGACAGAGGAAACACCACCATAAGTGCAGTCAGGGAATTCCTACAAGCCAAGTCTGGAGGAGGTCATGCGAGGAGGAGATGAAAGCATGTGGACAGACCTGGAGCAGGGTGAAAAAGTTGTCAGAAAACCGAAGTCAATGGAGGTGCGCAGCTGAAGCCCTATGTTCCTCTAGGAACTAAAGGATACAATAATATAATAATAATAAGCCTGGTACTCAAACGAAAATGCAATCAACAAACACGTTAATATATACCAAATACACCAACTAATAAAAGTAAATCAGGTGATCATGTTTAAAATCCAAGTCAATAGAAAGTGTTCAATATATATGTAAAGATGGTTACCGGGAGACGCAATTCTATCACTCATGAAGAAATTGAAATCATTTCACTTTATCGTAAATACTGCGCTGAAGATGTCATCGAGAAAGATGTCGAAAGCTCCGCAACTAAACCAAATAGCTCAGAGAACACTATTAATTGCAAATCATCTATCTGAGTTACAAATCTTTTGTATTATTTCAAAATATAAATACTACTGTTCAGTCTGCGAGGATGATTTCGTCGATAAGGAAAATTTTCCTCTCTGAATTGTCTTCCATTCTTAAAAGTTCACTATCTTGAACACTAGAATAATGTAGCATTTCATTTATATTTTCAGTTTATTGCATAAACTTCTGACTGTTCTATATGTAAATGCAATTCTCACTACTGGTCTAAGTGAATCGTTTCCATCCATCCATCCATTCGTTGCTTGGGTGAACCAATTAAGTAGTGTAGAACAGTAGTGGACAGTAGACAGTCGGTATTCTTGTATTACTGTGGCAATAATAATTAATGTGCTTCTTAAATAGGTATCAAGTCTGTCTCTCTGTTTTCGACATAGAACTTAGCACTGGTGTGCCCCAGTTCAAGTCGCACTCCCTCCATGTAGCACACAAGCAAGAGAAGAAAGTACAAGAAAAGCATAATAGAGACAGTAAATGGAGGTGAGAGACAAAGGAATAGTAATAACAAAGAACAATACAATTTCATTGGAAATCATAAGTCACAAGGAGTGGATGCATCTGCACCAGCCATTGAAAACGATTTTGAGGCATACCACCGATTGTTTCCAGTCATAGGTTTTCACCGTCCCGAGGACCCCAACCAAGACGTCTACACCTTCCTCCGTGACTGGCTGGCTTAAACTAACTGTTGTAGATTTCATTGACTGATGAAGCCATGTTTTGGTTTGACCGCTGCTAGCTAGCTGTTTTTTAGTCTGACCCTATGTCAGCTAACATCGCCTGTCGGTCGAGGAAGGTGGTGACTAGGCATACGTAACACATGCCCTAACCATCCCAATCGGTGTAACTTCACAACCTCGTCGACTGATTTCCCCTGCTCCTTACCTAGAACTCGATCAATGCATAACCTCAATATTGCTCACCTTATTATACCACTTCACACGGGAGATAGAGCACAGGCACCCATGATCAAAGACAGCTAGGCTGGCTTTTCATGTCTTCCACTCTCAATGGTCAGGTCTCAGTCACAGCCATAGAGGTGGACGGAGCGGACTGATGAGCAGTATACCCTCCCTTTGTTCGATAGCCAGTCGGATATCACGTCTACTAAGCCAGAGACGGAGTAAACTGGCATATGCGAAACGAGCCCCCTGTATCCGTGCTGAGATTTCGTCAGAGATTGACGATACATTGACGTTGGCCGATGATACTTCCCAAATAAGTGAAGCGGTCAACGTGCTCTACCAATTCACTTCCTATTTCTAAACTAGGAGTCAGTGTAGTCCAGCCAGTCCTGTAACATCATCTTATATTTGGCGGGAGCGAATTGCATCAAGGTATCAAGTAATAAATAAGGGAGGATAATAGTCAGGTAAACGCAGAGGAAGTGAAAGAGAGTAAGTAGTGCTTGGAGAATTATTTTAACATATAACCTAAGGTGTCTATTACCTAAATTGTTTTTTGTTTTTATCTGTTTTTTCCAAAATTTCAGGTTGCCATTAAAATTATGAATAAAGATTTAATAGGTTCTAAAAACCTGGGGAAAGTTTCACGTGAATTAGAAGCTATGAAACGTTGTCAACATCCTCATATTATTCGATTATATCATGTTATGGAAACGGAATCAAATATATTCATGGTTACAGAATATGCTAGTAAAGGTGAAGTATTCGGTAAGTTTCCAACCCCACCCTCGCTCCCCGCTTTATCAGTTTTTGTAACCCGACCTAGTGTTTAATCTGTTAAATTATACTTCTGATTGACTAACTAGTCGGTATTTGTGTGTGTCAGTGGCGCTTAGCCTTAGAGTGTTCACCAACCAGGCCTCATTTGGTTCGGGGTTCCGTCCCCGGCCGGCAGACTCCTTTACCCTTGCTAAGCCGATAATAATAAGACCGGTAAGAAGGGAAGGTTGGGTATGAGACTAGCAACCCCACCCCCTCCGCAAAAAAATAAACACCGCTGTTACCGAAACTTCAAAGCTCTAGCTTGAAGTCCTACGTAGTTCCACTGAGAACGTGATGGAAATGTGGTTAGTCGGTATGCATCGTGACATGACATTAGTATGTACTACTACAACAGAATGAATGAAATCTGTTCTTTTGATGATTGATGGACGAAAGAAGGACGCTTCGATGTTGGATGATTAGAGATAATCGGCAGGAGGCCTTCAACCTATGTTTCGTGCTTATTTTTTACACTCTCCAGTCAGTAAGGTGTATGTGAAGTCTTTCAAGGAACTCATGTCTCCTGTGAGATTTGAACGTGCATCACTCTGTGTTGCGATCAGAGACGTTACCATCGAGCTATTTGCGGTTATGACTAACTTTCTGTGGTACTATATTGAGGTACTTTGATTGGATACAAGGTAATAACTGGTGTTATATGTGTCAAGCAAGTTCTTTGCACTGATGCAGACTTAATTCTATCAGTCAAGTTTGTAGTGTGATCGCTAAGCTAGATGACCTGGCTTTGCGACGCTATCTAATATTGTGGTGAGAGCTGGCTGCTAGCCGAAATTGGTAGACAGTAATTTATGTCAATGTTTACGTCCCCAATATTGGTCATGAGAAAAATAAGAACAAAGACTGATTCAACAACCAATCACAGGAGACTTTGCGTAGGTGGATGCAATTCGCATATAGATAATCTGAACTTCAATAAAGGACCACAAAGAGATGAAAGATGAACGTTCAGCGAGAAACAACCAATCAATAAAATAATCTATAATAATCTACATGGAAATATATAAATGTGTTGATATCGTAAATAAAAGATCTGTTTCCTGGCCTTTGTCTTCTGTTTTTACAAATGTAACTTTAAATAATTTCAAACAATCAGTAGGAAGGCCTGTCTGACGCAGGTTTCATGCCTGTAGGCATTCATCAGCAAGGCCTATTCACAACCTTGGGTGACACAATTCGTTCTACACCGACGCCAAGGACTAGACGTACGTACTCATTATTAACCCGTCAAGGAGGGATGCTTCTTCTGCTGACCTTCAGATATTAATTTCTACATCATATGTAGGTGATATTATTATTATTATTGCTATTAACATTCCCTTGGGTTCCGAGTCGAACGTAGAGCTTCAACATCACATCTCCATTTCGGTCAAGTTCTATTCAGTCCTTTTTATTTTAGCAGTCTCAACGATTGCTCATAAGCGCTTTCATTTCCCCCTCCCTATACAATCACTTCCATGTCGTTCTTAGACCATCGCCATTTTATCGGTCCCCATTTAGGCTCTTCACGCATGAGCTTGTCTGGAGTGTGGCGTCATTCACAGCTGTCTTCTCAGAGTGCATCTGATCCAACTCCATATTCCTCGGGATATATTTTCGGCAGTTTGTTTTGATTCTTTTGATGTTTTGATAAAGTCTCACAGTGTTATACAGTAATGTTTACTAATGACCACGTTTCGAGCACAATTTATCATTGCTGCTCATAATCATATCAAGGTACCCACACGACTTCCCAACTTCATTTATATAGTTCCATTGTTTTTCACTTGATTTTCGTTTGATTTGTTTGGTAGTAGTATTTTCCATATTTCAGGTATGAGTGATGAATCATTTCTATTGCATGTGTTGGGTGTAGACTCGATGAACAAGGATTCAGTAATCAACCACCTCTCTATCTCTACCTACCTAGATTACTTCTTAGAATTTTAACCCTCTCCCACCCTATTGTGTGGTTGTGTGTTAATGCGTAAAGTGAAATTGCTGAGCTTTTCTCTAAATTACTTATCTTCTCAGGGTCAACCATTCTTACCATAGCTAAATTCTTACATTCTGATAATCTCACCACTCCCGATCTATTAGTTTGACCTATGTACTTGACCTAAGTCACAGTCATTAGAAGGTATTTTGTAAATTATATTATTTTGTCTAATTGGGTCAACTGGGTCCTTTATCGTACAGAGTGTGTCCTGAGTGAGTGAGTTTTTAGGTTTGAATGCCACCACCCTAATTCCTGCTTTATTGAGAATCCAACATAGGGAGGGTCTCAGATGTCCCCTTCTTATATGGTATAACAGCAGATGATTTATATTCTTTCTTATTTACGTTATTATTACTAGTTCCACAATTATTTTTATTTTGCTTTTGACCTTTTCTGATCTTCCTAATGAATTCTATAGGATAGTTAGTCATTTAACACCAACGCCTCTTCTCTCTGTTTTATTTCATCATTTAGGTCTTTTTTTGTGCTACTTAGTGCTACTGATCGGTTTGTTAAACGCTTAACTAAGCCTGCCATAACAGTTAACTGATGAGATGAATTAAAGTCTAAGTTGGTTTTCTGTACACACTAGCGTGCAGTTTACCTTCTTCTATTCGTTTTATTTTACAGTCTAACATAGCTAATTCTCCTTGTTCATTTTCCGATTCAAATGTGAATTTAATTCCTTCTACTTGTGAGTTTATGTGTGTGAAGAAGCTAGAGATATGTCCTTTTTTTAACACTGTGAAAGTGTCATCCACATATTTCCACCATATTGTTGGAGTAGGATTAAACGTATTAAGAGCATATTTTCCCAGCTGTCCATAAATATGTCTGTTACAATATTGGCTATTGGTGATCCCATTGCTACACCTTCAGTTTGACTATATATTTTGCCTTGGAACTTAAAGATAGTAGATGTGAGGCATAACTGAATCCCTAACATAATTTGTTCAATGGGTAGCTTTGTCCTATAAGTGAGTTCGGGATCTGCAGTTAGTTCTTTTTAACTGCTGCTAAGGCCATGTTGATTAGTATGTTAGTATAAAGACTAGTTGTATCAAAACTAACCATTGTTTCATCAGTCTCTAGTTGGATGTCATTTAGCTTATTTTCCATCTCATATGAATTAGTTGGTCTAGAGTTTGAGCGATTTCTAATGGGGCATAATCTTAGAGCTAAGTGGTTTGATAATTCATAAGTAGGGGTATTTCTAAAATCTACTATTGGTCGTATGGGGTAGCCTGGCTTATATATATATATATATATATATTCAGTAATCAACCTCTCTCTTCACCTACCTATATTACTTTTTAGAATTTTAACTCTCTCCTACCCTATTGTGTGGTTGTATGTTATTGCATGCAGTTCAGAGCTTTTTTCTAAATCACTTATTATCATGGGATCAACCATTCCTACCTTAGCTAAATTGTTATATTCTGATAATCTCACTACACCTGATCTACTAGTTGACCCTATGTCGTTGACTTAACTCACAGTCATTGCAAGGTATTCTGCAAACCTACAGAGCCTGTCAGAACATAACAATTTAGCTAAGGTTAGAATGATTGATCTCACGATGTTAAGTAATTTAGAAAAAATCCTCAGTAGAGCATTGCACTGCATACATTAACACACAACCACACAATAGGGCGGGTGGGAGAGGGTTAGAATTCTAAAACGTAATATAGATAGGTGGAGAGAGAGATAGAGAGAGAGGTTGATCACTGAATCCTTGTACATCCGATCTACACCCAACATATGCAATAAGAATGACTTATCATTCATACCGGGAATATGGAAAACACTACTACCAATCAAGTCAAGTGACGAAAAATTATGGAATTATATAAACGAAGTTAGAAAGTTGTGTGAATAGTGTTTTGAAATATGTTTATGAGCAGTAGTAATAAATTGTGCTCGTAACGCGGTGGTCATCAGTAAATGTTACTCTATAATAACGCTATGAGAATTTATCAGGATAAATTTTCCCTCGATTGGAATTCTACTCTTCCACAGTGCATAAGGTTCTATTCTCATATCATCATTAATTCATGCAAAACTATTAACGATTAGTTTTAACCAGCTGATTTGCCCATCTATCACTCTAATCAGCTGCTAGTTAGCTATATGTTAAAACACTTCTAAATATATGCGTGGTCTTTATCCATAGCCTTGCGCATATATATTCATGTATATCGTTTAATTATTGATACAATGAGGCTTTCGATATTAGATGAGTAGAACACTGAATTGCATCATCAATTTTTGCATGTTTCCTCCTTCCGTTGTTCCTCTTTTTTTGCTTCTTCTAATTCTGAGTAAACTAATATGTGTGTATGTATGCATATCCATGCAATCTAAACAATTTCAGCGAATATAATTCAGTCAATACAATAATGCAAAGCTTTAAAAAAAAAGATTGGCATTCCTATACCGTAATTAAATATATCTGATGAAAGTCTGTTAAAACACAGGTTATACATACATACTTTGACGATTCACAGCAAATTTATTTGAAGTAATCGAATACACTTTATATAAGCAAATGAATCACATGCATTCTAATATATGTGTAAAACTTGGGCACTGTGGTAGTAAACAATTCTATATTAGTTTGTTTGTTAGATGTATCACACAGTCAGTGAAACAGTATTATTTACTGGATTACACACTGGCGTTTACCGGAAACCCTCACATTCAAACAGATATTTGGATTTCAGATCATCCCATCAATGTCAGTAAAAGTAGGATCGTGAAATGTTTAAGTGACAGAGCACAAAAACTAAGTACTACCAAAGAAAATCTAAGACAAGAGGTGATACATAATAATAACTACCCTGATAAATTAGTCGGGAAATATGTAAGGAAATGTAAAAATAAAATAAATAATGGTAGTAGAGATAGTGATAACAATAATAATATTAATGACGACATGCATGGCAAATAT